AAAAGAGCTTATGTACTAGTCACATTTAATCTAAGAAACATAAAATATATGTATTAAGATAAATTACAGAAAAGACCTGGTTTAAAACCTTAAAAAGAAAATTTCATTGCCTGACCATTGGTCTTGAGTAGTTCTTTCAACATAATAAAAATAATGGCAAATGTTGTTTTAAAATTTACTGATAATTAACATCATTCTTATTTTGCCCATTGTACTTTATTCTTTACCTTGACTATCAGGAAGCCTGGGATTAAATTTTTAGTTCAAGCCTAGTCACAGTCCCATCTCTGGCACTTGCAAAACTATCTTCTCTTTTTGTCTAATAATTTATGTTCTTTATTTTATTGCCTTGTATATGTGTACATAAAATTTTAGAATAGGATTGCTTGAATTCTTTTTTGAAAGAGTAGAACTGTAAACTAAATATTTTGATTACTTAATTTACTTTTATTTTATATTATCCTAATATACTTCTCAAATTCATAATTTTGAGATTTTATACCAAAAAAATTTCAGATGTAAAAACAATGCGAAAATAATAACCAGTTAACATCCTGATGACAGTATCAAATCCACACATGTCAACTAACCTTGAATGCAAGTGGGCTAAATGCCCCAATTAAAAAAATGCCCCAATTAAATTGGGGCTAAATGCCCCAATTTAAATGCCCCAATTAAAATCTAGAATGGCAAGCTAGATAACGAACCAAGACCTATTGCTATGCTGTTTTCAAGAGACCCATCTCACATGCAGTCACACACATAGGCTCAAAATAAAGGGATGGAGAAAAATCTACCAAGCAAATAGAAAACAGAAAAAAGCAGTGGCTCCAATTCTAGTTCCAAACAAAACAGACTTTAAACCAACACAGATTAAAAAAAAAAAAAAAAAGACAAAGAGGGACATGACATAATGTTAAAGGATTCAATTCAACAAGATCTAACTATCCTAAATATGTATGCTCCCAACACAGGAGCACCCAGATACATAAAGTAAAGCAAGTTCTTAGAGACCTTTAAAGAGACCTAGACTCCCACATAACAATAATGTGGAGGTAACTGTGCAATGTTGCCAGTGTGGTGTTAAAGTCTCTCACTTATACTTTAACACCACACTGGCAATATTACACAGATCATTGAGATAGAACATTAACAAAGATATTCAGGACCTGAACTCAGCACTGGTTGAAATGGATCTTGTAAACTACTACAGAATTCTCCACCTCAAAACAACAGAATATACATTCTTCTTATTGCCATATGGCACATACTCTAAAATCAATCACATTATCAGAAGTAAAACATTCCTCAGCAAATGCAAAAGAACTGAAATCATATAAAACATCTCTCAGACCACAGCACAATCAAATTAGAAATCAAACTAAGAAATGTACTCTAAACCATATGATTACATGGAAATTGAATAATTTGCCCCAGAATGACATTTGAGTAGAGAATAAAGACACAACATAGTAGAATCTCTGGAATACAGCTAAGGAGAGTATTGAGAGGGAAACTGATAGCACTAAATGCCCACATCAAGAAGTTAGAAAGATCTCAAGTTTAATAACCTAACATCATAACTAAAAGAACTGGAGAATCATCAGCAAACAAATCTCTAAGCTAGCAGAAAACAACAGATAATCAAAATCAGGCCTGAATTGAAAGAGATTGAGACATGAAAGATAATTCAAAAGATCAACAAATTCTGGAGCTAGTTTCTTTTAGTTAATAAAACAGAACACTAGTTAGACCAATAAAAAAGAAGACAAAGAAGATTCAAATAAACACAATCAGAAACTACGAGGGGGATATTACCACTGACCCCACAGAAATACAAACAACTATCAGAGAATAATATGAACACCTCTATGCACATAAACTAGAAAATCTAGAAGAAATGGATAAATTCCTGGACACACACCCTCTCAAGAATGAACCAGAAAGAAAATGAATCCCTGAAAAGACCAATAATAAGCTCTGAAATTGAGTTAGTAATAGCCTATCAATCAAAAAAGCCAAGGACCAGATGGATTTATAACTGATTTTGACTAGATGTATAAAGAACAGCTGGTACTATTCCTACTGAAACTATTCCAAAAAATTCAAGGACGAGGGACTCCTCCCTAACTCATTCTCTGAGGCCAGCATCATCCTGATACCAAAACCTGACACAGACACAACATCAAAAAAGGAAACTTCAGGCCAATATCCTTGATGAACATCAATGCAAAGATCCTCAACCAAATACTGGCAAATCAAATCCAGCAGCACACCAAAAAGCTTATTCACCATGATCAAGTAGGCTGTATACCTGGGATGCAATGTTGGTTTGACATATGCAAATCAATAAATGTGATTCATCACATAAGCGGAATTAAATACAAAACCCACATGATTATCCTAATAGATGCAGGAAAGGTTTTTGATAAAATTCAATACCCCTTCATGTTAGAAACTGTCAATAAGCTAAGTATTGAAGGAACATAACTCAAAATAATAAGAGCCATCTATGACAAACCCACAGCCAACATCATACTGATTGGGCACATGCTGGAAGCATTCCCCTTGAAAACCAGCACAAGACAAGGATGCCTTATCTCACCATTCCTATTCAACATAGTATTGGAAGCCCTACCCAGGGCAATCAGGCAAGAGAAAGAAATAAAGGCATCCAAATAGGAAGAGAGGAAGTCAAACCATCCGTGTTTGGCAGACAACATGACCCTATATCTAGAAAACCCCACAGTCTTGGACCAAGAGCCCCTTAGGCTGATAAATAACTTCAGCAAAGTCTTACGATACAAAATCAATGTGCGAAAATCACTAACATTCCTATACAACAACACTCAAGCCAAGAGTCAGATCAAAAATGCAGTCCCATTCACAATTGCCACAAAAATAAAATAAAATAAAATACCTAGGAATACAGTTAACCAGGGAGGTGAAAGATCTTTACAAGGAGAACCACAAAACTCTGCTCAAGGAAATCAATGATGACAAAAACAAATGGAAAAACATTCCATGCTCATGGATACGAAGAATCAATATTATTTAAATGGCCATACTTCCCCAAACAGTTTTTTATACATTCAATGCTGTTTCTATCAAACTAACATTGAGATTTTTCACAGAACTAGAAAAACCTATTTTAAAATTCATATGGAACCAAAAAAGAGTCAGACATTTTGCCTCATCTCCTGTATCTATCTTCTGAACATCTGTTGAGTTTCCAAACTCCTAACATTTAATGAGAACATTGCTTATTATGCTGTAGTCTGCCACTGGTGTTTCGATCCTCTCCAACATTCTCTACTCCTCTTGCATTTTCTTTTCTAACTTAGGATTTTTTTATTTCTCTTTCTTTTACCATGAAAGTCTACTGATTGTTGTTTTCCACATATTTTCTTATATATAGCTTTCTCTCTTTCTCCCATCTTACCTATTATTAAAATTATACTTTTTTATATTTCTGAAATGCTGAGGTATGTGTGAAAATCATTGATTCAACTTATGTTAAAAGTGAAATTTAGTACTATTTATTACATGGATTTTATGGTCTTGAATTGAAAAGAATCTTTACCTCAAGTTGTTTAAAAAAAAAACTCATAAATTTCATAGGGATTAAGTATCTGAATCAAAATTAAATAATGAAAATAGATGAAAATTTGGGAATGTGTCCCTAACCTTTGGATTAGGAGAAGTCTTTTTAATTAGAAAAGAAACTGATAAACAATAACAAACAAGATTAATAGATTAGAGTAATAAAAATCAAAAAGTTCTGAATGACCAAATATTAACGAAGTAAAAAAAAAAAATTAAATGAAAGCATGATAGCATGTGATAAACTATGCCTAATAAAGAGCCCCCCAATAACCATAATATCCAATAGAAAAATGGGTAAAGCAAGCAATATATTCACAGAAAAGGAAATATAAATGGACAATGAATATTAGGAAAGATGCTCAACCCACCAGAAGTTAGGGTAATAAAAACTAAAACAAGAAGCTAGTATTTTTTTGCCCATAAGATTAACATAAATAAGATTAATAAAATCCAGTGAGTGGGTGTATCACAAAACAGGCTTTCTCTTATATCCTTGTTAGGAATGTGAATTATATGAACCTTTCAGAAAGCAGTCTGCCAGGATTTACTAAAATTAAACATAAGCAAATACTTAAGGAAATATGGCCTAAAGATGCAGAAATATCAGTACACAAAACAATAAATTGGCATACCATAAACATTCATATTGCTATTAGCAATAACAAGTTATCCATACATGTATTGAATTCTTGGGATACTTAATATATGTGCATAGTTAAACTGAAAAAAAAATTTCAAGAGTAACATGAATTATATGTTCACATATTTGTAAAAAATTACATAAATATTGGTATGTAAGTTTATGTACTGGAAAGATACACTGAACTGTGGAAATAGGAAATTTTTAACTTTTTCCTTCCAAACAATTTGTTACATTTGCGATGTAACTGGAACACTGATAGGATATGGCTATAGTCATAAATGTCCTTTTTAAGATTCCTTTACATTCTAAAATAGTTACAGACACATTTGTTTTACGTCTCTCTTTCATTAGATTTTTGAAGCTGCATTAATAAAGTACGAAGGTAACAAATTACCTCATGCTCTCAAAAGTGGGAGCTAAATGATGAGAACATGTGAACACATAGTGAGGAAGAACAAACACTGGGGCCTATTGAAGGGTGGAGCATGGGAGGAGAAAAAGGATCAGGAAAAATAACTAATGTGTGCTAGTTTTAATACCTAGGTGATGAAATAATATGTACGACGAACCCCCATAAGTTTATTTGTGTAACAAACCTTCTCATGTACCCCTTATTTAAAAGTTAAATATATATATATACGTTTTTTTTCAAGAGAAAAAAAGAGGATTATTTCATTAAATAGAAAACAAAGAAAAGTAGTAAACACACTCAGTAAACAGCCTATGTTACATGATAAGCTGAACAACTCGCCTTGTTTATCCTCTTCCAGTTCACTCTCAGAGCATCCATCATTCTCATCTTTCACATTGTCATGGGCATCTGGTGCCTTCTGTGATGAGGTTTCATTCTCTTTTTCAGGGTCTAAATTATCTCTTTTATCATCCAAAGGTGACTGTGGTATTCCATTCATTTGAACATCGGCCTTTCCTTCTTCATTAGCTTTTTCACCTTGTTTCTCCTCATCTACTTCAAAATCTTCTTCGTACTCTGAAAAAAGAAAATCTCCACTATAAGAATGAAAATAGAACCCCTTATCTTAACCTATTTCTCTCTAATGAGAACTTTGACTCCATTATCCTCTCTTCTCTGAGCCTTTCTTTGCTGCTTCTTTTTCGTTCAATTAGTGAACATGGAAAACTAACAGCAAATGATCAAAGATTCCAATCAGTTACATACACAAGAGCACAAAAGAAATGAAGCTCCAAATCACAAGGCTGAAACCTAATAAAAGTTCATTTACAAATGAACATCATCATCTAAAATAACCAAAATGGAAAGAGAAGAACTTGATATAAAACAATAAATTAGAAATAAATTAAAAATGAAGAGAACAGGATTATAATAATGAAAGTTAATTTGGAGATCCAGTGAGGTCATATTTCATACGAAAAGTGTTCAAAATATTTGGATATCAACTTAATGAATAGTGAAGTGGAAAAATTCAATTAATCAAGTCCAAAGGCCCTGAGAAGTAACACTGTGAATAGCACATTCTTTAAGAAACAAATGGACATCAAGAAAAGGCATTATGAAGGATTCTATATGTAGGCCAGAACTGAAATCATATGCATTCCTCATTCCTACAATAAATGAAATAATTACATTTCAATGATAAAAATTTATACAAAATAGAATATTCCTGTCACAGTCACGTATTTGCTTTATTCCCTGCAGAGGTGCAAAAAATCTGTAGCAGGAAAAGGAAATTGTCACATCAGATAAACTCCAGCTGTCCCTCGTGGTTATAATTTTTCACCTTTCATATTTAATTGTTCCCCCTTTTCTTCCACGAAAAACTAAAAATCTTGAAGTGACAACATGCCAAGGATAGAGAGCAAAAGGATCTCATGCAGAACCAATTAAGCAAATAAACAATTATCCTTAAAATAAAAATTACCATTAAAATAAAGGTTTCTCAATGTTGTGTGTTTTAGTTATTAGCTATTCTGGCTTCTCTGTCAGTGCAGGGGTGGGTCTCTCGGGTAATTTACTTGAGAGCTGTCCACCCAGTGAAAGAAACTTAATCTAGAAATGTATGCCCTGTGCATATGCAGAAAGCTCTGTAAATACAGAGAATGAGGGAGATAGAAGGGGAAAAGTGAAACCAAAACTTGTAACAAAGAAAATTAGATAATCACAAAAACGTTTCCACAAAAGAGATTTAATACATTTAAATACAAAATATGAATATCAGTAAACCAAAACTGTAAAATAAGCAAGAAGATAAAGAATTTGCTTTATATTGCTAGACACAAACAGAAAATACTAATAAAAACGAGCAAATATTTTGATCCAAGTATTACCGGCCAAGTTATAGGATAATTCCCAAGTTATAGGATAACCCTGTTAACTATCAATCAATAAGCCTATTTTTTGAGAATCTTCTATGTTTAAGAGGATAAAATTGCAAGATAGAAGACACTACAATAAGACATTCCCTGCCATGAAGGACTCTCCAATTTTTATTGAGGGAATAAGATGTAGGTACACAAGAAACACTGTACTCACTTTATCGTAGTTTTTAATATGTGATCCTCAGTAATGTGTTTTTCAACACAACTGGGCTGGATTGCTATGGATTTTTATATAGGACATATAATTAATTGTGTGAAGTAGTGTCAAGTAAGCAGAATGGAATGAAAAGTGAGCGGAAAGTCATTTTAGGGTCTCAAGGAAGACTTCCCCAAAGAGAAAGGTGAGATTAGCTGCAGAATACACATACATATATCACACTACAGGTGTTTGCTACTGATCATAAGATAAGCAGAGGGCCAGAGAGAATATGAGTGGATTGCTGTAATTCCATCCATAGTGTTACATAGTAGTGAAATGTGAGGGTTTGGGAATCAGGCATTCATGTGCCCAAGACCCAGTTAAAACACCTACTAACTATGTGACCTTGGGCAATTTGTCTTTAAGCTTCAGTTTCTCCATCTGTAACATGGGTAATACAACACTGTGGTGAGGATTGAGAGCAATAATCCCTGAAACATGCTTAGCACAGTGCCATGAATAGCAGGTGCATAATAAATATTATGGATTAGTACTAATAGTCCTTGTGATTGCGTAGCGAAGGGAGTAGATTATAGAACAGGAGAAAACACAAATGATATGTACTCCTTTGACAGCAACACACTTTAGTCGAGGCACCTGATTAAAATCAGGCAGTACAAGTGCCCACAATTAGGACACAATTACAGTTATATAATTGAAGCACAGCACAAAAGTGAAGGAACATGAAGTGAACCACAAGAACAGTCCCGGCATCATATTTTGTGTTTTCTCTCAATTATAAAGTCAAGGCTGCCCTGGTTTTATTCTATCCCTGTTATCATCACATTTAAATATTAGCTTTCTATTAACCACAAGCCTTCCATTGGCATTATAGCTCAAAGCACACCACTTTTGTGCCATCTACTCACGTTTTTGATATGAATAAAACAGCGGCATGCTTTCTAAAACCTTTTACATAATTTCTTCTGTTCTCCTTATCCCATTTGCCGCCTTCTAGAGAATTTAATTAGGTTGTTATTTACCACCCCCACTAATGAGGACGTGAGTCAACACCAGGTCAACATCAATCTAGCCACAACCTAATCTTGCTGGCCTCGATTCAAACTTCTTGCTGCTCTTTCATCAGTGACTATTATGCAGAGAGCTGAACCCTTGCTGCTGTGGCTGCGTTTTTAAAAACGGACATGGACATTTAAAGTCCATTAACTAGCCAACCCGGAAGAAAGACCCCAGGAAAAACTTTATCATAGGTATCATGAGTATAAAGTACATCACTCATAGCACTAGTTAGGTTGGTTTAAGAAAAAAAAAAAGAAAATGAAAAGCTTCCACCGAACATGACTTCCATAAACCACCATGTCTTCCAAGTTAAAACACATGAAAACACATCCTATTTGTTAATACCTCTGTGATTACTATTGCTACAGATATATTAAAATTCTCATGCCAAGATAGGACAAAGACTAGAAGAGATTGTGAAGAATGGTGAGCTGGTAAAACCGTTCTAAGTGAAATCTTTTGTAAAAGATTCACTATATTCAGTAGTAATCCAACATGAAGTCTAGCGCTATAACAGCCCTGTAATTATTCTCTTGGATTCCTGAAACACTTGGGCAGCAAAAATATGAGGTGGGGAAGAAGATACCTAGAAGTTGTCCCTTTCCCGAAGCCAGCCCTTCCACAGGTCATCCCAACCCATGGTTATTGTGCCCCCTAACCAGGCTTTGTCTCCTGAGAATGAGGGACACACAGGCAGTTCTCCCTTTCTGATACTTTGGACACACTATCCACAACCATGTAGTGGGTAGGCTAACTTGTAATAGAAGGTTGTACAGTGTTTGAAAGACTGAGCTTTGGAATTAGACAAACCTGGGTGCAAATCCTTGTTCTGCTACTTTTTTTGTGTGTATCTAAGCCTCAATTTCCCAGCCTGTAAAATTGAAGTAATAATAATACCTACCATATTGAATGGTGAGGATAAAATGAGATTGTGTGTGCACAGTGCCTAGTTCAGTGCTCAGTGCTTGGCACTTTTATTATTGTTGTTATTACTGCTTTAGGGATAAGTATATACAGGCATACCTATATACACATGTAAGTATATACAAGCATACCTATACTCCTGAATGTATACCTATATATGTTCAATATACAGGTATACCTCAGGGATATTGCAGGTTGAGTTCCAGGTCATTGCAAAAAAGATAGTCACATAAACTTTTTGGTTTCCCAGTGCATCCAAAATTATGTTCCTACTATGCTACAGTCTATTGAGTATACAACAGCATTATATCTAAAAAAATGTGTACACCTTAACTAAAATAACTTTATTGATAAAAGATGCTAACAATCATCTGAGCCTTAGCTGGTCATTGTCTTTTTGCTGGTGGAGGTTATTCCCTTGATGTTAATGGTTCCTGACTGATCGGGGTGGTGGTTGTTGAAGGCTGGGGTGGCTGTGGAAATTTCTTAAAATAAGACAACAATAAAGTTTGCCACATCTATTGACTCTTGCTTTCATGAATATTTATCTGTAGCATGAAATGTTGTTTAATAGCATTTACTCACAGTAAACCCTCCTTCAAAATTGGGCTCCATCCTCTCAAATCCTGCCACTCCTTTATCAACTAATACATTTTATACATATTCTAAATTCTTTGTTGTCATTTCAACAATGTTCACAGCATCTTCAACAAGAGTAAATTTCATCTCAGGAAACTTCTTTCTCTGTTCATCCCTAAGAAGCAACTCCTTATCTATTCAAGTTTTATCATGAGATTGCAACAATTCAATCTCATCTTAGGCTCCACTTCTAATTCTCTTGCTATTTCTACCACATCTGCAATTACTCCCTCCACCAAAGTCTTGAGCTCCTCAAAGTCACCCATGAGGGCTAAAATCACCTTCTTTCAAACTCCTGTTCATGTTGACATTTTTACCTCCTTCCATGAATCATGAATGTTCTTAATGGCGTCTAGAATTGTGAATCCTTTCCAGAAAGGTTCCAACTGAATTTGCCCTGATCCATCAGAGGAATCACTATCTATGGCAGTTATAGCCTTATAAAATATATTCTTTAAAGAATAAGATCTGAAATTACTCCTTGATCCATAAGGATAATAACAGAATGGATGTTGTGCTAGCAGGCATGAAAACAACATTATCGCACTGCACATCTTCATCAAAGTTCTTGAGTGACCAGGTACATTGTCAATGAGTGGTAATATGTTGAAAGAAATCTTTTTCCCTGAGCAGTAGGTCTCAACAGTGGGCTGAAAATACTCCACAAACCATGCTGTAAGTAGATGTGCTGTCATCCAGGCTTTGTTTGTTTCATTTATAGAGCAGAAGCAGATAAAATTTAGCATAGTGTTTAAGGGCCCTAGGACTTTTTGAATGCTAAATGAGCACTGGCTTCATCATGAACTCACCAGCTGCACTGGCTGCTAAAAGAAGAGTCAGCCTATCCTTTGAAGCTTTGAAGTCAGGTGTTGACTTCTCCTCTCTAGCTATGAAAGTCCTAGATGGCATATTTTTCAATGTAAGGCTGTTTCACCTACACTGAAGACCTACTGTTTAATGTAGCTACATTTATAAATGATCTTAGCTAGTCTTCTGGATAAAATTGCAGCAGCTCCTACATCAGCACTTGCCACTTTACCTCACACTTTTATGCTATGGAGATGGCTTCTTTCTTTAACCCTCATGAACCAACCTCTGCTAGCTTCATACTTCTCTTCTGTAGCTTCTTCACCTCTCTCAGCCTTCATAGAATTGCAGAGAATTAGGGCCTTGCTCTGACTTAGTCTTTGGCTTATGAGAATGTTGTAGCTAGTTAGATCTTCTAACAAGACCACGAAAATTCTCTATATATCAGCAATAAGGATTTCTTTTTTATCATGCACATGTTCACTTGAAGTAGCACTCTTAACTTCCTTCAGGAACTTTACTTTTGTATTCACAACTTGGCTAACTGTTTGGCACAAGTAGCCTAGCTTTTAGCATATCTTGGCTTTTGATATGCCGTCCTCATTAAGCTTAATTGATTCTTTTGATTTAACGTGAAAGACATGAGACTTTTCCTTTCACTTGAACATCTAGAGTATATTGTATAGGGTTATTAATTAACCTAATTTCAATGCTGTTGTGTGTTAGGGAACAGAGAAGACCAAGGAGAGGGGAGAGACTGGAGAACAACTGGTCAGTGGAGCAGTCAGAACATTGATTAAGTTCACTTTCTTACAGGGTACAGCTCATGGCATCCCAAAACAATTGCAATGGTAACAACACAGATCACTGATCACAGATCACCATGACAGATATCATAATAATGAAAAAGTTAGAAATATTGACAAAATGTGACACAGAGATGAGGTGAGCACATGCTGTTGGACAAATGATGCTGATAGATTTTGATGCAGGGTTGCCACAAACTTTTAATTTATAAAACGTGCTGTATTTGCAAAGCTTGTGCAATAAAGCGAGCACAATAAAATGAGACATGCTTGCATACGTATGTGTGCATGTATATATATGAATGTTCATGTGTGCATGTGTGTGTGTGGCGGGGGTGTTGGGTGTATGTGTACGGAGAGAGGGAGACAGAGAAGCAGGGGAAGGCAGGAGAGAGGAAGAAGGAGAGAACAGAGAATAAAGAAGAAAGTGAAAAACAGCAGACAGATAGGTTCTACAACCCTAAGCCTATAGCCAACTGTTTTTGGTTATGGAATACTCTATCACCACATAATTATATTGGTTGTACCTACCTGGTGTCAAAGCAATTCATCAATTTCATGAAAAACAGTACATTCAAAAACTTTTAAAATAGGTAAAATTCTATTTGGCCAAAATGGTCTCTGCAGAAGTCAATAGAGTCTCTAACTCATATTGACATATACTCTTTTCTCCCTCTTCATCTCTGCAGCAAGAACCTTTAACCTTTCGGGGGTTAGGTCTGCCCTCCTCTAAGGTAGGTGACAAAGGATTCCACACAAAACAGCAGAGGAAGGAGGTCAGGGACACCCCACAGTAACAGAGCTGCCTGAAGTCCACAGCTGGGTAACATTTAATGGGTATTTTTGAAAATTTTGATAATCACACTTCAAAGACAAATGAAACAGCCGCAGCAACAAGAAAAGAAACTTGTGTTGTTGATTACCATATTTTAAAGTATTTTCCTGGTCGTCTTCCCAGACATCGTGTCCTGGTTTTCCTTTACTTGTCATTTCCTCCACAGCAGTTATAACTTCTTTGGGCCCTGTTTTTATTTCTTGAGCTGAAAATTTGGCTAAGACAGAGGATTGGTTCTCCTTGATCTCATTTCCTTTCGGTATCACATACTCCCTCTCTTGCCTCATTTTCCCCTCAGCCTTCTTCAGGTCCTCTCCTTTCTCAGTGCTCTTTTCTTTCCTAGATTTTGGCAAAGATGTTTTTTTGTCAAGGCCCATTGCAATAATGCACCTATGAAAAATATTAACAGGAAGTGTGTGTTAACCCTTATAGACAGCACAATGGAACCTCAAAGCTTTTGAAAGCACTTATCTCTTATACTAGTAAAAAAAGATACAAAAATATTTTGATTACAGTATACACTGATAAAAATAGACAATTAAAAAGCTAATTAAAAATAAACTATTTTTGATACTAAAATCTTGTAAACAAACACAACAAATTCTTAATAATGTTATCCACAATAATAAACAAAATAAAATAAAACATCAACCAAGAACTACAGTTTCAAACTAAAATCTGTGCCTTCAAGAATATTTTTGGTACTAAACAGTAACATGTATCATAGATACAGAAATATAGATGGGTATATAATTTTACATACATAAAAATATATTTCAAGTCTTTAAATGAGAATTATGTGATAATAGAACATGCAGATTTATAAACATAGAGAAGCTAATATAAAAATAGTCAGAAGCAGCAAGATGCCATTCAGTCTGATAACTTGTATTTTAACAGCACAACAACAGTAACAAAAGACTTACAAGATTGGCTCTAAATAAATATAATTGATTTTTTAAAGTAATATATACAGTCAAATATTGTTGCATCTTTTAGGTAAGTAACTCAGGAGTTTGTACACTCGTTTTCATAGAACTGTCATTATTGCTTTTAGAATGGCCTTTTGAAGTCTGTACGACAGCCTTTTGGTGATTTTTACTAGTAATAAGTTCTTATTCCTCAAAAATGGCAATAATTTATAGAGGTTATGAAGTCATTCCAAGTCAAATCTGGTGAACCATGCAGATAATCTGAAGGCATTATGACATTCAAACTTTTAAATCCATTATAACAAAAGTAATGTGAATAAATTGTCTTCTAAAGCTTTTTTTATATCTAAGTTGATATTAAAATAAGAATTTCAATGATAATAATATATACATTAATAAAAATGATGATTATGATAATGATAAGATTATTGAGCACTCGCTGTGCCAAGCTCTTTTCTGGGTACTCTGTATCCATTATCTTAAGGAATTCATTATCTCATAGACCAATAAATTAAGAACTATCATTACCACTTTACAAATGAGAAAACTGAGGCTTAAAAGGCTCTAGCAGTTCAAGGTCACCCAGTACGTGGGTGATGGAGCTGGATTCTAGCTCAAGACTGCTAGGCTCCATCACGACATACTGAAGCACAACCATATTGGTCTATTACAGGTGTAGGCCTCCAGTTCCTAGTTATGATATAACTAGGAGAGATGACTAGTTACACAGACAAATGTCACACTCTCTCAGCTGACACTAATACAATCTGGAGAAGTTTCTGGCAAGACCTGGATAAAATTCATGATCTGAAAAAGGTATCTGGTAGTTATCAGTCTCTTCATTTTCTTTCTCTAGAACTACTCACATGCCCCTCTCTCCATGTGACACAACTATCAGAGAACTGAATTTATAGTGGGTAGGTGAAAGGGATCAGCAAGCAGTCAAGACTTGCTGGTCCCAGAAGAATAGGAATAATTTGTAAAATCTGAAAAATGCCTCAACCTGAACAAATCCAATGGCAATTTCTAAAACTGAAGATTTCACGAAATTTCAGCTGTCTGTAGTATAGAAATAGCAAAGGAATTGATCTTAATACATTTTTTCCAACAAGCAAATATGAGAACTGAGTTATATCACTTAACTTTTCAATATCTCCCCATAAAATAAAGCTAAAAGGATTTGCACTCAAAGTAACTATCAGGCTGTAAAAAATGAGATAACGAGATTATACTTATCTCACCCATATTAAGCACGATAAATATTTCTTGACTATAATGATGATGTGCTTAGCACATTGCTTTCCTTGGAATAAAGGTGTCATGAATCTTCACAGTATATGATTACTAGCATTGCCTTCTGTTCAAGCTGTTCTTCCCTTATCAATTGCAACACCAAATCCATTGATTTGGAGCCTCTGATATGCTGTTACTTTTAGTTTATGTTGTGGCTGCGTAAAGGCTTTGATGCCTCCCTACTGCATGCACAGACTTTTTATTGCCCATCTGCTGAAGGGAATTGGACAAACAAAGTGAGCAACATCTGCTCTCCTCGTCACTGACTACCTATTTGACTTCTGAATATAATTTGAGGTGTTGATTATGATTACTAAAGCTCAAAGCCGTCTGCATTCTACATGGTTAGGCATTTCTTCCCATGTTTCATGCTAGCAATTGAAAATTACTATGCCTCTTCAAACAGTTCCTATAATTGAGAGATGAGGACAGTTGTGGAACCTCACACTTTGGAAGTGACCACTGCTCAGCTTTTCTTGTTTTCTGAGGACCTTAAACAGGTAATTCCTAATCATTTTAGAAATATAATTTTCTGTTATTTTATTGTACTATGTCCTCCTTTTTCTCATCATAAATGTTTCAGGGACTGGCATTTTTAAAATAAATTAAAATTAATTTCATTTTGAATATATTGGAGGAATTAGTGTGCATTGCTTAATATAACTAAAAGTATCATTATGGGTGTGACAAAAAAACCAAAGTTACAGAAGATAGTAAGTGCTATCAGTCTCCTTTGGGGTAGTTCTCAACTCTCCATGGAGTTCTGCAGTGTCATGGTCTCTAGAATAACCAGAAAAGTCTCAAGTGAGGAAGAGGACAAACAAGCAAGGCTCTAACACTCACTCACCTAACCCTGTCCCATTTAAACCACTGACTCAACTTTCACCTGACCTGCAACAGGGAGACAGCCAATGACAATGTACTGTTCTATTTTGGGCATTCACAGATTTCATTGGAAAAATGGTTATGAAGTTAACAAAACAATTGAAAACCAGTCTTCTGTAAGAACCATGCATTTCGGTTGAGAGTCATAGGCCTTATTCTTTAATATTACAACCATTTTGATGTTATTATTTGAAAAGGTTGAAGAAAGAATCTAGAGGGGACCAAGTGTTGAAATCATAGAAAGAATTATACAGAGGCTAGTGAGTGTGGAATGAGAGTAAACGCTGTCAGTCAGATTTTGGTACTGAACTTCCATAGAAAGTGCTCAGGGTTAATAATTTACAGCTTGGATTTATACCACAACTCCAAAAGAATGTAATATATTTGCACATAGATGATTGCAGATTTTTATTAGCTTTCCTGGGAATTAAACAGAACTGTGTTAAATGACCTGCCCCCAAATAAGGAGATAGCATATCTGAGTTGGAATAGGAAGGCAGCTCATGTGGTCCCTAAGTACAGGTGGGCACTGATACTATCTTGCCCTAGGCCATTCAATCTTCCATTCTCTGGATGATTCTTTCACGCTCTTCTCTCTCTGGAAACACCCAACCCCTCTTCTCTCAGCCTTATCCTCAGCTGATAAATTTATGTATTGTTTAAGAAATAGAAACAATCAGCAGAGAGCTTCCAGTTGTTCCCAGCACATCTATTAATAGCAACTTACATCTCTATCTTGTATGCCTTCTTTCTTTCTTCCTGTTACCATACAAGAATGTTTCTCCTCTTCTTAAGGCTTATACCCCTACTTGAGCCCTACATCTCATCTTCTCCAGTCTACCCAAGTATTTAGCTCCAGAAATTTCCACCTTTATGTCATACTTCACGTTTCTTCTTCTCTAAGGTATTCAATAATCCTTTGTATCAGCATATAAACATATTATAGTATCTCCCATCTTAAAAAATAAAGAGCCTTCCTTGAACCCCTACGTTCTTCCTCCTGGCTACCACCTAATTACCATTCTTTATAGCAAAATTATTTTTAAACCTTCTCTATAGTCTCTGGCCTTAGTTCTTCTCCAACTATTTTTTAAATCCACTCCAAGAAAGCTTATACCCCAATTGCTGCACTGTAACTTGTGCCATGATCACCAGTAGCCAACACACTACCAAATCAATGTCCAATCTTGAGTCTTCATTTTACTTCACCTATCCACACATTCAACTCCATTAATCATGCCCTTATTCTTTAACCATTTTCTTTATTTCCAAGATACTACTCTCTCTAGGTTCTCTTTCTACTCACTGCCTTCCCTTCTTAGGCCGGTTCCTCTTTACCTCCCTCATCTTTTAAATAGAGTGACACTCATTACTCAGACATCTTCTCTATGTTCAATTCTTAAGCAATCTTATAAATTTCATCTGTATAAAAACCAGTCTCAGATTTGCATCTCCAGCCTGGACCTCTCACCTCACCCTGGATTCGTATATTCAACTGCCTACTCAGCATCTCTACTTGCTTATCTCATATATGTCTCAGACTCAATGTGTCCTCAACCAAAACTGCTTCATTCCACCCCAAAAACCTGCTTCTTCCACAGTCTCATCTTACATACATGTTAACTGGACTTCTTTCCAGTTATTCAAGACAAAAAAAATTGAAACATCTTTGACTCTGCTCTTTATCTCATTTCCTGCATTCAATTCATCAGTAAGCTCTACCTTTAAAATTACTTCTAACTCATTCCACCATTATCTCTTCTCTGGATTAAAGCAGTTTCTGCTATTTTCCCCACACTCCCTTGTTTATTTTTCCCATAAGAGTTACTATTAGATCATGATAAGTCATTGCTCAAAACCCACCTTAGAAGATTCCCATCCTTCTCAGATAAAAGTTAATGTCCTTGCAATGACTCTAGGACTCTACATGGCTTGCCCTCATGGTCTCTCTGACCTCATCTCCAATTTCATGGTTCTATTCCTTTTGCTCTGGTCAAGCTACCTTAGACACACCAAACGTGTACCTGCTTCATGCCTTCTGTATATGCTTTTCCTCTATCTCAAAAGCTATTTCAAGAAAGCAACTTTTTTTTCCTGGTTTCTGCTCAAAAGACATCTCATCAGAGAGGCCCTTCCTAACCATCCTACATAAAATAACACACTCCTCATGACTCTTGTCTCCCATCACTCCACGTATCTCCCTTACCCTGTTTTGTGTTCATCATGCTGACCATCTCACATATATTAACTTCTTCGTTGGTATGTTATCAGCTTTTCCTCCATTAGAATAAGTTCCATGGAGACAAGTACTTTAGTTGATTCACTCTTGTGTTCTAGCTTGGCATCTAGCCAATACTTTTAGAAAATATGAAAGCTTATAAGGAAGACTCCTAATTTCAAACAGAATGTTCAATATGAAAGCTGGTAACAGTCAAAACTGACCTTTTATCATGCATTTTGTTATGCCCAAGATTGAAACTAAGGGAGATGATGAAAACTGGGTCAGACAGTAATGCAGGCAAACCTAACCTCTAATAGGCATAACTGAAAATGTCCAGTCAAGTAAGTCAGATGCTTGGCACACACTTTAAGGCTCAGCCTAAAACCAGTTACTAAGATGAATGAGGAAAAACAGCCAAACAAACAAACAAACAAAAAATCTCTCTCCTTCCCTTCAGAAACAGTTCTTAAAGTGAGAAGAAAGGAGAGATAGAAAGTGAAATAATTTAAAATGTACTAGCTTTTATCTTCATCATATAACACCTCTGTAAGTCTGATTTCCATCTTAAAATTTCAAATTCAGCACACCATGTTACAATAAATAACCCTGAACTTAGATATTTCAGGCTCATCTATACTGAATTTTTTTTAACTATTGTGAAGAGAAATGCATTAGTAAAAGCATTCAAAGAAAAATGTAGCAAAACTTGCGCTCTACCAAAGGACATTTGTTTCCGTACTTGTAGCAAGGAGATGATCTCTCAACACACACAAACCCAAAGTAGCCTCGTTTGCCTCCGAGCCTGGAACTTTTTCGATGCTTATATTCACAACAGGAGCTTAACCTGTTCACCTGCATCCCATTCAGGAAAAAGGTGAGACTGAAGGGGAAACCATGATGCCTTTTGGAAATAAACTGAAAGGTCTCTGGAATTAAAATAGAAATACATTAGTGAAAGCAGCTGACTTTGGACTAACATCTGTTAAATCATGTTTTTCTATTAGATAAATAACAATATTATGATCTAGATCGGGGTGTCCAATCTTTTGGCTTCCCTGGTCCACACTGGAAGAAGAAGAATTGTCTTGGGTCACATATAAAATACACTAACACAAACAATAGCTGATGAGCAAAACGAAACAAAACAAAACAAAACAAAACAAAATGTTCTTGTATAAATCTCATAAAGTTTTAAGAAAGTTTTCAAATTTGTGTAGGGCCACATTCAAAGCCATTCTGTGGCCCGTGGGCCATGGATTGGACAAGCTTGATCTAGATCATCTTTTAATTTGAGGACAATTTTCAATGATAAAATTGCATTTGATAACTTTTATTTGTAATAAATACTCCAAGTTTTTATAAAAACTCTTTGATTTTTAATAAAATAATAATACCTAAAGTTATATGAGCACATACTATGGCCAGGCATTATGCCTTATTATCTTGTTATTTTTCAATCACGTGAAGTGGGAATTTTTCTATCACTAGATTCTAGGTCAAGAAATTAAGGCTTAGAAGAGTTCAATAACTTATTCAAGATCTTTTTTTTTTGAGACGGAGTCTTGCTCTGTAGCCCGAGCTGGACTGCAGTGGCCGGATCTCAGCTCACTGCAAGCTCCGCCTCCCGGGTTTACGCCATTCTCCTGCCTCAGCCTCCCGAGTAGCTGGGACTACAGGCGCCCGCCACCTCGCCCGGCTAGTTTTTTGTATTTTTTAGTAGAGACGGGGTTTCACCGTGTTAGCCAGGATGGTCTCGATCTCCTGACCTCGTGATCCGCCCGTCTCGGCCTCCCAAAGTGCTGGGATTACAGGCTTGAGCCACCGCGCCCGGCCCTCAAGATCTTACAGCGAGTTGGAGAGTTAGAGTTTGAATCCAAACATCTCTGTAGATTCCATGCCTCTATCTTGCTATGCCATTTATTAACAAAGCAGTTAATAAGAGAAGCCTACTGTGAACTCATTAATGCCTTTTAAAATGCTTTTATTTTTAGTTGTGACTTTAAATATTTGAATACAAACATGAATGAAGCAGTTATTTCATCTCCAAGCTATACTGAATTCTGTTTTGATTTGAGAACACTTTGTTTTCCCCACCCACCCAAAAGTTCCACCAATAAATTTAGAACCACTGCCTAAAATTAATAGTTTTTAATAATTCCAAGTCTTTATAATGCTCTTTGCAAAGCCCCCACCCTGCCCCGCTATCCCCACAGACATCCTAAACCCTAAGTCTGGGAAACTTTATTCTCTACAGAGTGACTCAAAATCCTGTGCCTCATGAATATTTCTTATGTCACTTCCTAAAAAAGAAAAAGAAAAAAGAGCCTCTCTGGACCCTTCCACATCTGCCGATAATAAAGTTGACAATTTTCACCTCTCTACTATGTACACATTTCCTATTGTTGCACTTACTACAATAGATTAAGATGTAGCTATACCAGTGGTTTTCAAATGTTAATGGTGTATCAGCATCACCTAGAGGGCTTATTGAAATACAGATTGCTGGGCTTTATCTCTGTTTCTGATACGTCAGGTCTGTGGTAAGAACCAAGAATTTGCATTTCTAACAAGTTTCCAGGTGATGCTGATGCTATTGGTCTAGGGACTGGCTTCTAAGAACCCTCCCTAATCTAGATGTTTGCTGCTTTACATGTTTGTGAAATCCATAAGAGCTGAAATTGATGCATCTTTTTTCTCCAAGTCCCAGGACAATGGCATAGAAGGCTCCCCCAAAATAATGAGCGAATTATTATTTTAATCTATTTTTAAGTTATTTAGAACCACTGTGTATACCACATTGTTCCCTTAAAAAAAAAAAAAAGTTACATTACATGCAACTCATTCTAAAGAACAGACATATTAAAAAGGTAATTCAGTCATTTATACCTTAGTATTTCTGATGTAAAATTAAACAAATTTGGAAAGAGAAAGTTGACAAAGTTTAGAGTCTGGGAAAACTAGGATACAATATCTTTAAAAATCCTTCTGTCTTAATGATGAATGGATTCCTCAGGTGTTGAAAGCGAGTTTGATTGTTTTTGTTATAGAAGCTTGATTCTACACTCATGTAATATAAAGCATTCTGCTGCAGTGTCATACCCCACAACGTCCTGCGTTCCCAGTTCAGGAAGAGAGTGCAGTTAAGGAAATGTTGAGAATGGGCTCAGGAAATCAGGCCCTAAAAGTGACTGCCCTTCCATCTGATGCTCATGTAGCTGGAGAGCATAACCAGATACTACTCCATTTTGTTTTTTCATTGTTTTTCAGACTTCTAGAACAATTGACACCCTTTGGCTTTACTCCTTTGTTACTTATTTTTGTATTTTAAATAAAGTGACACCTCCCCATCCTGACTTGATGATTTCTTCATGGAGCAGTGGAAAGAATATAGTCTAGAAATTAGAAGGTTTTGGTCCAAGGCACAGGTTAGCGTATCTTGGTAGGTCATTTAACTTTGTTGTCTTTCAGAATTCTCACCCATAAAATAGAGATGGGGGTGGGTAGAATGCACTCGTCTATCTACCACACAATCTTAAAGATTTTAGAATGCAAAATATTAGAAAGCATTATATATGATTATAATTACAATATTTGTACAGTTAATTATTTATTGTTCACTGACAGTTGGTAGCACTGTTTTAGGTACTAAAGAGAAACAAAAATAGAGAAAAATATCAAATGTGGTCTCTTCACTGAAAAAGATATCAATAAACAATTAATCTGGATTGCAGTCACCAAATCCTCTCTTCTTTAAAATTTTATCTCTGGAGATGAACCAAAGGCTTAAAACAAAGTGAGAAGCATGCATTTATGAAAAATTACTGAACTTTAGGTAATGGGAATCCATGCATTTTTTCCTGGGCTACTCTCATCCCCAACATCTAACTACTACCTTATCACAGCAGTTCTAGTAGGGTAGGCCAGGCCACAAATAACCAGCCGTTTCACTGTCAGTGGGGGCTAACTTGATTGGAGAGCAAGAAAAGCCCTTGGCCCATGGCATGACCAGGAATAAGCAGGAATCTCAGAGGCAAACTAACAGGGAAGGTCAGAGGTCCCATGGGCCTGTGACTGTAGTTTTGGGGGTTTTTTGTTTGTTTGTTTGGTTCGTTGGTTGGTTTGGTTTGGTTTTTGTTTTTTTGAGAAGAATTCTTGTTCTGTTGTCCAGGCTGGAGTGCAGTGACACAATCTCAGCTCACTGCAACCTCTGCCTTCTGGGTTCAAGCTATTCTCGTGCCTCAGCCTCCTGAGTAGCTGGGATTACAGGCACACACCACCACGCCCAGCTATATATATATATAAATATATATATATATATATATTTTTTTTTTTTTGTATTTTTTAGTAGAGACAGGGTTTCGCCATGCTGGCCAGACTGGTCTCAAATGTCTAACCTTAGGTGGTCTGCCCACCTTGGCCTCCCAAAGTGCTGGGGTTACAGGCATGAGCCACTTAAACCCAGCCATGACTATAGTTCTACTAAGGGCAAGCAACAGGCCAGTGGACAAGTCAAAATTTAAAAGGAAGACAGAAGCAATACGGCAGTCACAGAAGCATTTGATAAGCTCCCTATATATCCCTGGCTAACTGGAAGTGGCATGGATCAGAGAGGGCTCAACCTTTTCATACATCTCTAGTCTACCAGTAGCTTTCCCTTAGGCATAGAAGAAACATAAGAGAATCTGGTGGAAAATAAAAGTTGGAACAGACTTGAAAATTGCCCAAAGTTTAGATGTACCCCTGAACCCACTATAGTCAGCTGAATTGTGTGCTCCAAAAATTCATGACCACCCGGAACCTCAGAATGTGATCTTGTTTGGACATAGGGTCTTTAAAGATATAATTAGTGAAGGATCGAGATGAGATCATCCTGGATTTAACTTTGGCCCTTAATTCAATGATTGATGTCCTTATAAAAAGAGGTGAGGACACACACAGACGTACAAGAATACCATGTGAACACAGAGGCAGAGATTGAAGTGATGGAACCACAGGGTGAGGAAAGCCAGTTGACAGAGTTAAGAAGAATGCTTCCTTGGGGTTTTTCAAGGAATGTATCCTTGCCAACACCTTTATTTTGGACTTTTGGCCTAGAAACCTATGAGAGAATGAATTCTTGATGTTTTCAGATATACTTTTGGAGACATTAGCCCTGAGCTATAAAACACAGAGACTACCCCAAGAGTCCAGACTAAAAAATAGCTATATAATATGTTTTAATCTGAGCAAAACATGGCTGGCTCTGCACCAGAATGACAAAGGCAAAATTTCACAGATTTAATTTTGGTAACTTACTAAAAAAAAAAACAACAACAAAACTAAAAACATAAAAATAAAAACAAAAATTAAACAAAAAAGAGAAGGAAGAAACGGAAACAACAATAACCTCTGAGGAGAAAAGTCAGAATCCAGAATTCACAGGAGCTTTAATATACTGCCTAAAATGTTAGACCTAAAACCATAAAAACCCTAGAAGAACACCTAGGCAATACCATTCAGGTCATAGGCAAGGGCAAGGACTTCATGTCTAAAATACCAAAAGTGTGGGCAAAAACTGGACGCATTCCCTCTGAAAACTGACACAGGACAGGGATGCCCTCTCTCACCACTCCTATTCAATATAGTGTTGGAAGTTCTGGCCACGGCAATCAGGCAGGAGAAAGAAATAAAGGGTATTCAACTAGGAAAAGAGGAAGTCAAATTGTCCTTATTTGCAGATGACATGACTGTATATTTAGAAAATCCCATCATCTCAGCCCAAAATCTCCTTAAGCTGATAAGTAACTTCAGCAAAGTCTCAGGAAACAAAATCAATGTGCAAAAATCACAAGCATTCCTATACACCAATAACAGACAGAGAGCCAAATCATGAGTGAACTTCCATTCACAATAGCTTCAAAGAGAATAAAATACCTAGGAATCCAAC